CGCAGGTCACCCAGGGGGCTGTGGGGGGAAGAGTGAGGGGCACCAGCAAGGCTGAGGGGGACTGTATAGGGGGGAGTTAGGGGCACCAGCAGGGCTGTGGGGGGGCCTTTTATTTTAATCATGGATTTGGGGGGGGTTTAACAGAGAATTTGTGGTTTTTTAATCAGGGAAAACCGGGGTCCCTGCTGATAGCCCACCTAGACGTGAGGTGTCTGAGAACCCTGTAGGGACTCTACTTTGAAAAATGTCCCCATCCTATGTGTCAGCTTGGTGGAAGGATGGGTATTTTCCAGTGGCAAGAAACCTCCCAGAACAGGTTCTCACTGCAGGAGAATGGACTGCCATTTGGCCAATCAGCTAATGGGCAGGAGGGGGGCGGGCACTTTTCCTCCAGTGGGATCCCTCCTGGAGCCTCAAGAAATTGATGCTGAAGAGAATGATGCCCAGCCACTCACTTCCATACCCCACTATACTCCTGCTGGTTGGCCCAGACCTGTGCAGGGGGAGGCAGGCTGCTGTGCCATGGCAGCAAGGCTCTTGGATTTTTGCCACCACAGGAGGATGCCTTCCTCCTTCTCTGCATTCCTTTGGGTCAGCTATTTTCCCATGGCAGGAACGCTCTTGCCAATCAGTCTGGGGCTGCCTGTGGCAATTGCTGCTTTTCAGCTGCTTATTGATAGCCTGCTCCTTTCCTCAGCAGAGAAGAAGGCAGGCTGTCAATTAATAGGCTCCCCGGAGCATAGGGGTGGCCCAGGGAGCAGGTTTGTAGTTCTCCCAGGTAGAGCTCACCTGTGAAGCTCTCCAGCCATAGGGCTGGAACATCTGTACTCTTTAGCTGCCGGGCTATTTTTCTAGTGGTAAGAAGTGAATGCCTGTCCGTGGTCCGTGTCCTGTCCATGTGACAGGTTCCATGCATCCCTTATTAATGCCCAAGGGGCTGGAGCTGGAAGCAAAACCCAAAGGACAACCTTGACAACATCTTTTGAAACCTTCATTGTTCACACTCTGCAGCTCCTACATGACTGGAGTCAAAGGCTCTTTGCTGAACTTTGTAACCTTCCAGTTGCCTACATGCTGTATGTCATGGAATTAATTACAAAATTATAGACTCTTAATAACAGCTTGGACTGGGGGTAGGAAAACCTAACTATGCTCCTGGGCCAGAATTCAGGTCCAAATGAACCCTGTTTATGAAGAATTTACACATTAACTATAGCAGTACAACCAACGCCCCTCCCCCCCAGTGAACACAGGTTATACCAATATAGCTTATTCCAGTATAGAAAGGAGAATAAACTATGCTAGTGTAACTGCAGTCATTGTGGGTTGTATCAACATAACTGTTTTGATAATAAGTACATCACTCCCATAAGCCAAATGGCTACTATATTTTATCACATACAATACACACCTTTCTCCCCCAAAATCAGCCCCCCAAAATTGGGATGCATGTTTTAACTGGAAAAGTTGTTTTCTTCACTGGAAAAGGAGTACCCCTGGAGACCCTGTGAATGCCATTCAGTAGCCATTTGTGTCTGCTCAGCAAGCTGAAGGAGCAGAGTCTTGTGTTAATTTTCTCATGACCACAGCTATTGGCTGAACAGCGTAGATTGTGCCTGAAGCAGCAAGTGAGCTGCTGGTAGTATCTTGCTGAGGCTTGTGATATGGAAACAACACTTTTTACAGGAATTAATATAAATACCGACTTACAGTAAAGAACTAACAGTCTTACTACTGCCCTTTTCCAAGAGTCTGGGGCCTAATCTTGTGTGACATAGGCCCCTGCTACACGTTACATATATTATACAGGTAATTGGTTAATCATGCAATAAATTTAAACCGGCCATATGTGAAAAGTAAGACCAGCCACGAGTGCAAAGTAATTATCACAAAATTAACTGGTTAATCATGCAATAAATTTATAACAGCCACACGTGCTCAGTAATTATTACACGGTAAAAATTACTATCCAGCTATAAAAAAAGCAGGAGACAGTTTGCCACACCAGGAAGTTCTGGATGCCTCACTGTGTGTTCGCAGAAGAGCTTCTGTGTCACACAGTTGGCCACAACTCTGGAAAAATCTTTTTTCTACTTTCCGCCTTCTAAAAACAAGACTTTTTTTTATTTTGGGTCATGTTATATGTGAGAAAATATATTATGCCTGCATAGGCCAGACAGAAGCCTGAAGTCCTGATTTATACAAAACTGCTATGGACTTGGATGGAATGTTGCGTGAATCAGGACACAAGCATGAAATCCTAGGTTTATACTAAAATTACTACAAGTGGTTCATATCTAGTTTCTTAGCAAGCATTAGATTTTACTACAGATTTCAGTTTTTTTGTGATTATGCATGATATCATATAGCCTATCACGGTAAATACCCTCCCTAATTACCTCATGTAATATGGCTAAGACTTCACGAATGGGAATAAATTAAACCTCACCAAAAAGGTCTGATTAAATTTAAATGATGCACTCAATAGTAAATGTGTTTTTCAACTGACAACCTTAGTTTCATATTTTGAATTTGTTTTACAGTAGTGCCCTCGGAGGACTGCTTTGTGCTTCCTCAGGGAATTTACAATCTAAAAAAAAGATGCTAAATTTGATCCTTCAGTCTCCATGTCTACATCTAGCTGTTTCACAACTCGGGCATTTCATGCCAAGCTGCTGAGCAGAACTGTATTCATAGGTTTAGCAATCAAGGTCAACACTGCAGAGCCTCCTCTATACTGAGGAATTTACCAAGAAAAGCCTGCTGATTTCAGCACCAGTGAGAGCCTTAATGTAGCCTAGGCCTCTGTGACTGACCAGTTTTTTACTTCTTTTCTTCAGGTTACTTTGAAACAGTGGTAAAAACACTAGAAACTACTGGAGCACCATCTACCTTAGAGCTCCTGCCAATACTAGGAATTTATGATAGCAACTGAGAATTCTTTTTCAAGCTTCCCTAGTATCGTATGGCTTTAATTTTTTTTTAAGTGCTGAAATCTACCCAGTGCTTTAAAACTTATAGAAAAAGACCACCCCTTCAAAAAAAATCTTCAGTAGGTTTTGCAAATAGCTGCTGAAAACCAGAAGCCTTGAAATGTCAGGCCAATACTACCTTTTGAAATGGAGAGTTTTATAAAGTTGGATTAGAAGTATTTATTTACTTTTAGTTCTCATGGAATTGTTTGATCAGTTTTCCAGGAAAAGCACTACAAGTTTCTAATAGCATGTACTGAATAGTTTTTTAAAATTAGTTGTATTTATTTCAAATGCTTCAAAGGAATACCTGTGCACTTTGTTACATTTCTCTTTAGGGCATTTGGTCCACTTTGGTGCCATGAAGATATAACACCCAAGAACCAGAATACAAAAAGCACTGAGCAGCTTACTAATTTTCTACGTCATCTTGTGTCTGTGTTTAAAGATTCCAAGTCAGGTACTGAATATTTTTCCCCATAATGGCTAAATACCACATTCTAGTTTAATATACCAGCCAGTGGGATATTTCTGGTATTGGTTTATGGAAACTTTCCGCTAACTGCCAGTTTCTTTCCCTTAAATGGCTGTTATAAGAGCTTTCTTGTGCAACAGTGCCCTCTGTTCTATGAAAATAATAATTTCATTATAATATATTTCACCTTTTTTCCATGTTACAAGTTTTAAAATAATTTTTGTTTTATAATCTGTTTAAAGTAATATTTAGTATGATTTTTGTCTGTGGATTCAAATACATTTGAATGTTGCAAATAAACACTTTCAAATTAATGTTAAATAACATTATTTCCATCTGATAGTAGCTCACCTTGTATTCTTTTACCATATTTCTCCAAAAGCTGATACAATCTTGTATTTTATGGCTGTGCAAATCTTCAGTCCCTGATTCAATTTGGTGGAGATTTGGCCCAATTTGGTGGCTGAATCTCCAAATCCAAATCCAATCAGAGGACCCTTTAATCTCTCTGAATCGAATTGGAACCCGCCGAATTGATTCAGAAAGATTCAGAGATTCAAACAGACACAGCTTTATAAGTTTTTTTGTACATACCTTGAGGTACCAGTGCAGTTCTTGATCACTGTGATGCTGGGGCACATGGAGCATCCCAGAGGAGCACAGGGGGGCCCCCCCATGTGCTTGGTGGCAAACCTGGAAGTGAACTGGAAGTACTTCCAGTCCACTTATGGGTCTCCAGGGGAGTGTGCTGGGGCCCCCTGCGCCCCCCTAGCTCAGCAGTCAGCTGCAGGAGGACCCTGGGTACCCCTCCCCAGACCCAGGAGGCACCAGTCACTGAGGCAGGGGGATGTGGGGGGGGCCCAGTGTGCTCCCTGGCACCCCTGGAATTGGACCAGAAGTGCTTCTGGTTCACTTCCGGGTCTGCTGTCGAGCATGCTGGGGAGCCCCCCATGCTTCTGTGGGACACTCCATGCACCCTAGCATTGCAGTGTTCACAAGCCGCCTGCTACCTAGAGGTATGCAGAAAAAGCATTTAAAGCTGTGTCTATGTCCAAATCGCTGATTCTTTGAATCAGATTCGAATCTTCAGATTTGGATTTGGCCGAATCGAATCAGGGACAGTGATCCGAATCAACGAATCAAATCAGTGTCCCTGATTCAGGCCAAATCCAAATCCGAATTAAATAGGGCCCACTTCGCACACCCCTATTGTATTTGCTTAAAGAAAAGAATACATTGTATTGAAACATATAACAGGAGTAAGTTAATATTTTCCTCAGGTCCATAGTACATTTTTATCCTGCAATTTTTTTCTTTTTTTCTTTTTGGGAGCTGGACTAAATGATCCTTCAGGGTCCCTTCCAGCCCTATGATTCTGTGATTCTTTCCTTAGATCGGTGTATGCTGAAGCAAAATGTATATCCTGTAAAGGATGCATTTATATTATGAATTTGCTAGACAAACATTGTCTTGGATTGGACTGTGGACAGACATTAAAATAAGCAGTTCTTCAGACATGTTACAGTACAACACTTTGATTATTCTATTAATAGAAAACATCTTTGCCTTTTATTTGTAAAATGGATCAAAAGAATTAATCAGTTTTCCTGACAATCTATACTGCATTTTCTCCTGCACAGCACGCATCTGTTTCCCCAAAATGAACCCATTTCTGGGGCTGATGTCATAAGCAGGAAAGCTGATTTTCTGCCCAGGGTTGAAGCACCTGCTTTGCTTCCATGGTGCAGCACCTGCTGTATTACTATTCAGGAAGGGGATCGGTTGACTTAATGGCTCATTGTTCATCACTCCAGAAGTGTTAACAACACTCTCTCCTTTTTAATGTTCTGGAAATTCTTAGAAAATTCCCTTAAGCAAGGTTAGCTTGATTATCTCACTGTTCCTGGTCTCTTTCCTCCTATTTCACAAGTGTGACAAGATGGGTCCTTGAGTGGTTGCAGCTTCCCTAGGCCACCCTAATACCACCTGCACTCCTGATCCTCTGTATAACCTCCCCTGTTTGTTTTGCCTGGCACTCCTTGATGTTCCTTTGTTATTAATTAGGAGGCTGCCCCTAAATCCTCTAGCGCTCTCACTGTCCTTTACCTATCTAACTGACCCCTCAGGCTCCCTAGGTCCTTAACTCCTATACTCTAAACTATTCCATTATCCATGGGTGCCTCTCTCTATTCTGGTGTACCCACTGGTGCCTGGGTGGCATTTGAGCCAGTGGTTACCATGTGTGCCCCAAAAGGCCCTAATTTAAGCCATAGAGCTCTTAATCCTGGCCTCCTACCACCACAGTAGCCATGCCCATGCCTTGCAGATGTCACTTGGTCACTGTTTGCCTTCCTGTGTAGGTTTTGGCCTTCTTAGCCTTAGACTACAGGTTACTCTGGCTGTTGACTAGTAGCCTAAGCCCACTGTCTCTGGCCTGGCTTTTTCAGTCTCAGCCTCATGTTAGCCCCTGGCCACCTTCTGGGCTTTGGCCCTCTCAGCCTCAGGCCGCCTCTGTCACCCCCTCTGGGCTCAAGCTCTGGCCCCATTGGCCTCAGCCTGCTCCTGCCTTTTGCCTCCTGCCCCTGGCAGGATTCAAAGTCTGGCATGCCCCAAGCACCCCTATGGCTTCCTTTCTACCCCTACAGCCTCCATCTGTCCTCCAGTATAAACTAAAATAAAAATGCAAGCAACTGCTTTAAAGTCAAACCCTCAAAGTCCCCCCTCTTGGTCATCATGCCACTGCCAAGCCACCTCCCTGCAGAGTTCAGGGTTTCACTGCCCCTCTGCCACAGGGACCCAGGCTCATATCCCCTAGGCTCCTCCCCTTCTGGTCAGGTGCTTTCCTGACTAGCCACAGATGTGTCCCCTCAGCTTCTAGAGCAGCTTACTGTCATTTCTCTGGCTGAACTGTAGCGCCTTTCCTGCCTGACCAGGAATCTGCCCTTCTGTCCTATTGCTAGGCAGCTAGCCTCAGAATAGGCATTTGCCACCTATGGGTCCCTGGCTGCCTATTCCCCTGCAGCTAGCCGATAATAATGCCTATTCCCCTGCAGCTAGCCGATAATAATGCCTATTCCTCTGCAGCTAGCCTCACAATAGGCATTTGCCACCTATGGGTCCCTGGCTACCTATTCCCTGCAGCTAGCCCATAATATGTGGGCTTCCCCCACATGAAGACATCCCTGCTGTAGCTTCTCCCTTAAGTAACAGGAGCCCCTGGCTCTCTGTTTCACAGCCTTACAGAGATTTTAGCTCTTTTCAGAATCATAAATCCACCAACGGAGACCAGTCTTCACTTGCAGCTAGGGTTTCACCTTTAATTAAGCAGGAAAGGGAGGGTGAGTCAGCTGAAGATCAGGCTGTGTCCCCACTCTATGCAGCCATTAATCTGGAAAAAAATCTTTCTTTATTTGGCCTTTCAAAAAAAAGGTGTGTGCTATATTCAGGAGCATGTTGTATGCAAGACAGTTCAGTATTTTGTTTTTTTTATTATGGTATGGCAGAGCATACTAATAAATATGCTAAATAGTATTTTCATCAGTAACAGAAAACTTTATTGAATGTCTGCTGAGATAGGACCACAATAATTTTATTTGTAATAAGGAATTGTTTTAAAGCTCATTGAGATTTACGGAAAGATATCCTTCCCTTAACTTCAACTGAGTTTTGAATCAGGTCCTAAGATCCTGTATTCAAAGGTTCAAAACACTGTATTACATTGAGTGCCAGAGTACCATATTTACTTGACTATAAGATGAGATTCCCCTCCCTGCTCCCCAAAAGCCTAGGGAAAAAGTCCCCTCATCTTATATTTGCAGCCAGAAAACCTAATTAAATGCACTGCCTACAATTAAACTGCTGCCAGAAGTAACGTGCTTAGTAATGGGAACCAACTAAGAAGTTGATTGAATGCAGCCCACACTTACCATGCCTGTAAAACACATGGCCTATATTAGGCATGATGGGAACCTACCACAAGGCTAGGTTAGTGTAGACCATCTAAATTATATATAGAGTCCATTGTGCTCAGTCCCCCCAAGAACTGACTCTTTTTCAAGTCATAGTGAACCATTACACTGAATACATTTTGACTTCCTCTTTACTGTCACAGCTGAGCAGCACCCTTCCCATTTCCAATGATTCCTGTTTCTTCCTCAGCCTTAACTGTCTGAAAAACATCACCAAACATTTATGTAGATGAGAGGCTCTGTCACCAGCTCTGCCAGCCCATTGCATGTAATTTTTATGGCCCTGCCCTCCATGTGGTGGAGCCAGACCAGGCATAGCTTCATGCTTCATTTGCATATAAATTTTTAGAGTTTCCCAAAAGAACACCCAGTTCTAGTCACAAGTGGGGGGCTAATTAAGCACATGGATACTTTGTGGGGGGTTATCTGAAGTACACACATATACTGAGCAGTTCTGGGCTATGAGGGCACCTTGGTTTGACATGCTGTTGACTCTGATGGGGCCCAGCTCAATGAGCTATATCAGTGGTTCTCAACCTTTGATACCACCTGCCAATCAATGCAGCAAAAGCGAAACCAGAAGTTCCACTGTGGCCCTTCCAGTTTCACTGCTGCGAGCCAAGTCCCACTTCTTCCTTGCGGATCACAGCCTGGGGCAAAGCAGCCTGTGTGGGACCTTCCTCCCTCTCCCCCTGGCACACTGACGCCAGAGAGTGAAAGCCCTGGTACACCAGGCATGGCAGGAGGGGCAGTGACCAGAATTTCCAGCCCGAACAGGCAGAGATGCCTCCAACCCGCTGGGCAGGGGGGCGAGCCAAACTCAAAACGCAGCACCCGCATACCCCCTGCCTGTGTCTCAACGACCCACAAAGGTACACTTACCACAGGTTAAGAAACACTGAGCTATATGATAAATCATAAGCCTTTTAGCTTTGGACTAATACCATGCATCATTTGTCAGAAGTGCTGATCACAACTGTATTTATGCAGTACCTGTGTTGAAACTTGCAGAAGTTTTAAAAATGTAAAATGGATCAATTCTGGGTTAACTGTATCTACAGGTTCCTGTAGTAATTTGCCTATCTCCAAATTACTCCAGGTACAGGTATTTTAAAGTCAGCATTTCTGTTCCCTTGCATTTCAGATGTACCTCTTACTTCCACATTGACAGTAAGGCAGGGAACGGGGCTCAGGGGAAGAAGTTGGGGAGGCAGAGAGCAAAGGGACCACCTGACCTTCCCCAACCACTATTTTCTCTACTAAAGCACAGGGAGAGGGATAAATTCAAGCCAAATCTCTGATAATTAAATTCTATACCTGAAAAATTACAACAAATTTATAATTTTTCCATATATAGAATTTAACTATTGGGGGGGATCATCTTAAATTCAGGTTGTCTTAGATTTGTGTAAATAAGGTAATTATTACTACACCCTTATGAGGAAGAAAAGTAATATTGTCCTGAAGGAAATGTTGAGAGATATGGAAGTGACAATCACACAGAAAATCATTGACTGTAATTAGAACATGCTCTTTACTATAGGTGGTCAGAAATGCAAATTAATTGAAAGCTGAATGTTTCAAATGTATCTTCTTTGAAAATCCATTTCAAAATTAAAGTGAAAAAGTATTTTGATAAGATGTTGGCCTTTCTAGAATGGAAAAATGTAATTCCTGTTTTGAAAAGACTTTTCCTTATTATAGAATGTAGTAAAGAGTCTTACCCATCATCATTTCTGTCAGATACACCCTACGGACTCCTGGGCATTCCTCCAGTCCCGTCCCACAAGCTCCCTCTGTAGCACCTCCCTATCCCCCTCTGTTTCAGCCATTTCCTGCAACACCTTCCTTTCCTTCCCCTTCCTCCCTTTATATCTCCCCTTCTAGG